TGCCTACCTAAAGGGTGGCAGAAAAGGGGACTATCATGGAAAACGGTGAAAAGGACCTGGGGGAAACACCAAACAAGGTAGCTAAGAGAATCGGTTCTGAGCCTTCTTCCCAGCCAAGGTGCTTTCAGGAATCAAGGGTCCACAACTCAGGCCTGAAACAGGGTGCAAGAGCCTGGGCCCCAATCTTACTCGAATTTAATAAGGAGGACAAGGTTTGGGAAAGAAAGGCTATATGTCCATGCTAGCGTCTCAGCAGCTGCAGCTGGGTAATGCAGCCATGCTCCCAAGGAAGGGTCGGTCACCTGGCCACTCACCCCTGATCAACAGCACACCATTGGCTCATCTGCCCATTGAACTGACTTTGGGGGAGTACGGAAGTCATCAGAGGCCACAGCAGGGCCACACACCTGAGGTCCTGAGGTCTGGCCTTGGGTGGCTTCGGGCAGACCAAGTACAATAGTGTACGTATGTGCTCACAGCCTTCACTCTTCAGGGCGGTGTCTACTGTCCCCCACTCCTTTGAAAACAGGAGACAGAAACTGAAGGATTAGAAGACTTTTTGGAGACCACTCAACTCACACTGACATCAGGAGAGCCATAACAATATTCTGACTGGGTCCCATTTTCTCTTCTTTCTTCTACGGGCCACCAGGAGCAGGAAAGAGAACCCAAGCCATTCTACACTACAGTGCTGATTTCTGTTTCTTTTCTTATTTGTTATTACTTGATACATACATATATATATATACACACACACACACAATACATACATACATAATACATACATACATACATACATACATACATACATACATACATACATATTGGGATTGTTTTGTTTTGTGTTTTTCGAGACAGGGTTTCTCGGTGTAACAACCTGGCTGTCCTGGTTCTCTGTGTAACAACCTGGCTTTGTAGACCAGGGTGGCCTCCAACTCACAGAGAAGATCCGCTATTGCTGCCTCCTGAGTATTGTGTTTGTTTTTAAACTTTTTTTTAAAAATTTGGTGTTCCTTAAAGCCTCTCTCTTCCAACCCTCCCAACACTAGACAAGAGAGAGAAGGTCAGTGGAGAGAGGGGCTGCAGACCCCTTTACTTCTCCCAGCTGTTCAGGATAGATGGGTTCTTTTGGGGCTGTATCTGTCAACAGCAGACAGACAGCAGTCTCCTCCATCTTTCTCCTCCAAGCTGCTGCACGATGAAGCGTCTCTCCAAACTGGCACATGCTATATGCCACCTTCTCTTTCTGGGCTCTCATATTTATATCCCTCAGAGTCCTAGACCATGACCTCTCCATGCTGCACGAGGCAGGTCTTTACCAGCCGGCAAAGACCACACCTTACAGGAGCCAATTATCAGCTGTGGACAAACTTAAAACCCAAACTAAAACCCCATACTTGGGATTAAAACAAAAAAAATAATAATAATTACATAACACAATTGAGTTTTTAAAGAAACCAAAACTTCATTACACCTTGGGTGCTAGGATTAAAGGTGTCTGCTACTACCACCTGATTTATTACTTGATTTTTTAATACAAGACCTTACTAATTAGCCCAGGTTGGCCCAGAACTGGACACAGAGTCCAGGATGGCCTGGAACTTGCAACCATCTAAAGTCTGGGATTATGTGCCTGGGCTACCAACCTCAACAGATAGCTTTGCTGCTATTAATTTTAACAAGGGCAATTATTATTATTTGCTGTGCTAAAGATCTGACCCAGGCTTCACACATGCTCTGCAAGTGCCTTATACCCAGACCACACCCCTGACTCCTCACTGATGAATCCTAGAAGCACTCAACAATTGAGCTAGACCTTTCCCTCACTGGGGAATTCTAAGCAGGTGCTCTACCTCTGAGCCACACCCCCAGCCCCTCACTGGGAGATTCTAGGCAGGGGCTCTACCACTGAGCCACACCCCAGCCCCTCACTGGGGGATTCTAGGCAAGGGCTCTACCACTGAGCCACAACCTCTGCCCTTGCCCTGGTTCTCTCTGCACCGAATTTGGGACTCGACACTCAGTTTCACCTATGAGTTTCCAAACCCAGTGAGAATCATCAGTCTCAGCCTCTTAGCCACGTTACCCTCAGTTCTAAGCAAAGGAAGACAGGACTCTCCACAGGCAGGCAGGATGGATGTGGAAAAACAAGATGTCAACCCGGATCTGGAGCAAGAGCAAGGGGTTTGCCAGTAGTCCAGCACTAACCCCCACCATGCTTCCCTCCCTGTTGAGAGGCTTCTGAACCTCCTCCAGGGCCCAGGGGAGCTTAGACTGTGAACTCACCAAGCCATCCAATAAAAGTGACTTTCTATCTTAGTTGGGATGCAAAGAGATATGTTTGCCACAAATCTTTTGGTGGAGATGCACACATCAAAACCCGCAAGCGTGCATGGAGCTTCACGCCCGGGCTTTGCAGAGAGCCTCGTCCCCACCTCCCTCGCTGCAGCGGCTGAGCCTGACTTTCAAAAAAGGGCACTGCAGCCCTGAGCAAAATCTCCAGAGGAAAACTCATTGCTTCTTCCTACCAGGGGCCCCAGGCCTCCTTCAGGGATTTCCTCCAAGGGCCTCTGCAACCAAGAAGGAATGGGGGAAGGAAAAAAAAAAACCCTCAAAAATGTGGCAAGTCAAAGGCACGCAGCATTGTTGATTCGTCTTGGTGTCTGCCTGAATATTAGATGCAAATGAGTGCTAATAAGTACAGTTGGAGAAGCTAACGGAAAAACTGCCCTTCCCAGGAGGATTGCTGCATACTGGGCAGCTACAGTGACCTGACTAGCTGTGCCTACCCGGCATAGGGAAGCCTGTGCCCACTGGCTCTAGGGAAATAAAACCTATGTAAACTTGTTCTCTGAAGGCCCTTGCTGTCCAGAGGCGCCTTCCAGCTTTGGGAGCGGACAAGGGATGGAAGGTCCCATTATCTCCCCTCCTCCCCCCGGCCAGGGTGTGCAAACGTGCAGGGGGGGTTGGTGTGCTGTGCATGGACACGTGTGTGTATTTACTCTCCGAAGCATGCATGCCGCCGAGGAGGTTCTCTTGACCATCAGGTGACCAAACTCCTGAGTTAGCTCAGGCCTGGCTGCGGATGGGGACTTCACTGGCGACTGTCCAGCAGAACTGTAGCCAGGACTCTGCGTGGGGTGACAGGCTGGAAGTGGAGGGGCCATGAAGCCACGGGGACTAAAGCCTAGGCTGGCTGGTAGGAAGGTGAGTGGCTTTGTTGTTTCCGTCTCGTCTGCTCTGCTCTGGCAGTATTTGGATATGGGATGGAGTTTCTGCAGCCCCACTCTTCCTGACTCGTGAGTTCTGAGCCTTGTATCCATCTCATTCAACTGAACTTGACTAAAGGGACATGGACTTTCACCTTCCTTCCATGGGTAACTTGTGTAGACAGAGGAACAGTATAGGTCACAGCACAGCCTGAACCTCAGACCATCCTGACCTCCAAAGAGGGCACCCCAGTGTGAACCCATTCCACTCTGATACTGGGATACGGGGGCCAATCCCAGCTCTACCAACATCCAGATTTGTTGACAGTAACAATTTGGTGGCATCTTGTAACTCAGTTTCCTTATATGTAAGATGGGTACAACAGCACATGCTTCATTGCTGCAAAAATAAAAGGGATAAAAGGGAGCTGGGTATAGTGGTACGTGCCTGTCACCCTAGCCTTGGAGGCTGAGAAAGGAAGATCCTGTGTTCATGGTCAGCCAGGGCTACACAGCAAGCTTGAGAGAACCTATCTCAAAAACAGACACAAAACCAAAACAATGCAAGGAAGGTCATCATCTTGCCTGTCCTGGTGATGATCCTTGGGTACTCTGAGCTTAACTGGGGTCATTAGAGAGGCTCCAAGACCGCTCAGGCCTTCCAGGATCTCTAGTGTTAGGGGTTCCCTGGCTGTGCTCAGGAGAGGTTCCGGACCTCACCAGGCCCTTTTAAGGTCACTCAAAGGCCACAGGTCCATTTCAGTCCATGGGTTAGCAGGAAAGCATCAGGCCAAGAAAGCAAAGTCCACTCAGGGAGGGGAGAGGCAGCAGCTTCCATTCTGTTTTACTGGAAGCTTCTATGCTGTCTGGTTTTGTTGTTTGTTTGTTTGTTTAATTTCACTCTGTATGTCCCTTCAAGACTAGGCAGGGACTGCTTAACCCAGCTGAGAATGGTTAGTTTGAGAGCATAGCCAGCCTTTCCTCCCAGTGCCTGATTGCCCCCTGCAGGTTGGGGCTCTCTGGAAAACCGAGGTTTTGAATCCACAGCCCTGGAACCCAGTCCCCCTTCTACACCTGCGTTGTGTGGCTGGGGGACCGGCGACTCCCCCACCCTGTCATTCTGGGTTATGGATGGAGAGGGGTTGCTTGATTGAGCACTCAGGCTGGTGCCCGGGAGACGCTTAAGGATCAAGTTCTCAAGCGAGAATCTGGGCCATTGGGTTAGACACAGACCCGGAAATTTGGGGGTGAGTATCGAACAACAAGAGACAGGGCCTTGATTAAATTCCACGAGGGCTGTAGTCCGGGAACCCACTTGAATCTTTCTGCGCACCCCTTTGCCAAGCCCCGCGCCCCATCAGCTCTGGGTCTAGTGTACAAGACCCTGCCTGCTGGCGCTCTTTCTTTTTTCCCAGGTCAGCGCGGGGTTGCTCGGGTCCACCACCGGGGCAGCGGGTAGCTAAGAAGCTGCGGAGTGGAGCCAAGCGGCAGACAAGCACTCGGGGATCCCCAGCCCGGTGCAGCCCGCGCCAATGCCGCCCCACCCCCCGCTGCCGCCCGACCGCGCCCAGCGGCAGCTTCTTTGGAGCGCGCGTGGGCGTGGTGCCCGTGAGCTCCCAGGAGGGCTGAGTGATTGGGGAAGAGATACCCCCCTCCTAACCTCCCCCCCATCTCTGCCCCGCTGCCGCGACCGCCGCTTTCCACCGTGGGGCGGGGCCCGGCCTGGGGGCGGGGCGCCGGGCGGGCGCGGCGCTATTTCCAGCCTTGCCGGAGGCTTCGCTCGCACTTCGCTGGGAGCCTTCCCGGCGCGTGAGCCCGATCCGGCGGCACCGCGGGGAGGAGACAGGACCGGGCGGTGGCGGCAGAGACAGGGGGACGCAGCCGGCGCGGAGGACCCAATAGGAAGCTCGCCGCCGCAACCTCTCCCGCGCGCTCCGGCCGCTTACTCCACGCCGATCGCCCACTCCCGGAACCTAGGACTACACCAAGAAAGACGCCGCCCGGCCCAAGAAGCAGGGGCGGAGATTCTCCTGGCTTCCCGAGCGCCGGGAGGAAGATTCTCCCGCCGCCGAGAACCGTGCCGGACCCGAGGAACCCGTGGCCTGGAGAGCGCCGGCTGTGCCAGGTGAGGCTGCGCCCCGCGTCACCCCTGTCCCCTCTCCGTGCTGGCTGGCCGCCCGAAGGGATGTCCCCTGGAACCCCAGGGTGAACCCGGCAGCGCTCTGAGAGCAAGCCCCGCTACTCGACGCGGATCGGAGTAGCAAGCTGCAGGTGCTGCTGGGGCGTGCGGTGTTTGGGTCTGGCGGTACTTTGGGGACCGGCCCCATGAGCGGGAACTTTAATTAGACTTTCGATTCATGGTTTCTCTCTGCACCTGGGAACTGCCTCTCTTTCTCCTAGGGCTCTCCCTGAGGACCCTTCGCGCCTCCTCCTCCTCCTCCTCCTAGCCCTGGATGCTTGGGTGCGGGTAGGCAGCTTTGAGAGCTAAGCGGCGAGCGCCCGAGGGCCGGGCCGGAGCGTCCAGAGCGCAGAGGCTTTAGCTTGCGCTTGGAGCTGGGACTTGGGGGCCAGTTGGGTCCGGCAGAGCAAAGGGGGGGAAGTTTCCGGCGACCTTGGCTCCCTGCCAGGAGGTGTAAGGTTCCATCTCACTCATCTCCACCCCCCTGAAACTCTCTAGGGCCCTGGCCTGTTTTGTGCTCCGGGCTAGTGTGCGTGCGTCAGTGATCGGAGGGAGGTGTTTGCATGCGTGTGTCCCCGAGTGCGGGAGTCAGAGCCTCAGGCGGCTGGGGGCGGGGAACAGTGAGACGATCCGCTTTCTGCAACTCCTGCTGCCGAGCGAGCGAGCGAGCGGGGCTGCTTTGCCCGCACTCTGGCTCTGGCCTCCTGGAAGGCCGGCCTGGCCAGGCGAAGGTGGGTTCCTAGGTTTGGGCAGGGCCCGGGGTGGCGCTCGGGCGTGAAGTGACCTCTCTCAGTTTCCCCCGAGCAGGACTCCCAGCCTAACTTTAGTTGTGCATCTTGTCCCTGCGGCCCTCACCTGGAGCTGGAATGGTCCGGGGGCTGTGCCCTGGGTTGCAGGCATCAGGACAGAGGCATTTGGGCATCTCCGAGCCGCCTCTCAGCGGGACCCTAAGTGTGATTAGCTCTAAGGGAAACAGGCTTCTGGGAGGCTCTCTGTGACTATGGATGTAGCCAGGCAGCAAGCCAAGCGGGGGACTCAGTTGTGGGCTCCAGGTGGTAGGGATGGGTGAAGGGGTAAAGGCAGATTAGCCCTTTCCCCTCCTTCCTCCGCACGCGCAGGCATGAGACCAAGTCAGCTTTCTTGGGTTCACCTTGACCTTTTACAGGTGTGTAGGCTTGTCTTAAACCTGCCCTAGCTCAGAACAACCTCTGACTCTCCTGGAAGACCCTGATCCCCGGGGAAGAATGAGGGAGGGGCGGTGGTTTTCCTAAAAGATACTCTTCCCCCACCATGTAGCCCAAGCTGGTCTGGAACCCCTGACCTCACCCTGCTCAGTGTAGGGACTATAGGTGTGCACCACCAGGCCCCTACAGAACATTTTCCTTAGGTCAAGCCATGCCACCCCCTCCAGGCAGGCAGGGGGAACGTGTTCCGGAGGCATCAGCAGACTGGCCTCCGGGAGGTGACACAGAGGAAAGTATCACTCAACCCTTGAAAAGACTGAGTCAGAACGGGTTGATCAGTAACCCAATAGCACTTAAACACGGAAAATCTCAGTCTGACCCCCTCCCGTCGTTCCGAGGCATCAACACGGAACTCAGGAAGGGTGCACTCATTTATTTATTTACCCGGAATCAGACTTTGTGGGAGTGAATTATGTTCCCTGGGTATTGATTTTTGTTTATTTTGTTTGTCTGTTTGTTTTAAGACCCCAAATTTAAAAAGTCAGGGCTTTCTTAAAGCAAGGTCAAGGATTAATTATTTATAGAAAGACATCAATCAGCCGGGGGCCAGAGGGGGGTTGCTCATTTATAAATTCCCTGGGTGGGCAAAATGAAATCTATTTTTCTCTAGCTCCAGCCGGGAGAAGAGAACTGGCTGGTTTGACCCAGGATGCTTTGTAACTCAGGCCGCCGTTTAAGGTGCCTTTTCCATCTTGTAGCTGGAATATCGCTTGGGAAATTTTATGCATATTTGCTGTGTTTCCATAATGAACATTTACTGATTACAGAGTATCAAGGGAATTCCATTTTTTAAACATTTATTCAAATCTCTGTTTATGTGAGCTAATAAGTCTTGGAAAGTTCAGTTAACTAACTACCCCCCTCCTCTCCGCCCCCGCCACGGTTGTTGGGCGAGAATGCCTGGCAGGCTCAGCTCAGAATTTACCCCCCATTCACTTACAAGGGGGAAAGTCAGATGTCTCTGCTTGGGGATCCGGGGCTGGCTGCTTCCCTATACTTTACTGAGTCTGTGCCTGCCACTGCTTTTTGTGGTTTTGCTGACGGGACGGGAGAGAGGTCGAGGCTCAGAGCTGTCATTGCGGCTTTGCTGGTGTGCGTATGTGGTGGGTGCTAGCTGCTGTGGCCACGGGACTGCTGATGGGGGCAGACGGGGAAGGTGTGGCCGCCTGCTGACTTTCCTGCCTCTTGCCTATCACGGACCTGGAGTGCTATGCCCGTTCCGGCGCCTCCACGCTCCCACCCCTCTCCTCTGCCCGTGCGCGGCAGCCACCCCAGAACAAATCGCAGTCGGTAAACACGGCGAACAGTGGCCCGGCCTCGGTGTTAATCAGAAGGTAATGAGTGTTCTAAAAGGAGGTTTACATAACGCTGGCCTGAGGAGGTCGACACTGCAGAGGGATGGCCAAAAATAAAACAGATGGGTAAAGATGCGCCCGTCTGCAGAGCGCCAGGACGTCTCCTGGAGGCGGGCAGCCTCCGTGTGACGCCGTGGTGACCACAGGCTCCCGGGGTTCTCTGCCCTTGGAGTCGCTGTCTAGATTTGTCTGACTTGAGAGCAGCTGTGTCTCTTTCCTCCCAAGAAAAAGCTGCCCCCACACAGAGGAGAGTCACTGGGTCAGGCACGGGACAGCTGCGCGAGCTCAGGTGGCAGAGGACAGTGGAGCCATTGGCTCGTTTCTTATTGGCTGAAGGATAAGTGACCCTCCGGTCAGTAAATCACTGTGGCAGAGGGTGCGACTTACACATCGGCAGTGTGAGGTTGTGACTTTTACCCCCTGCGAAACTGCCTGCCGGTTGTGATTGGGTGCTGTGGACGGAATCGCTGGGACTTGTTCGAGGGTGGTTAGGAATTCAGAAGAGCCTTTGCAGGCGTCGGGAGACCAGGGAAGGCTGTGTTGTGGTGGGCCAATGGCCGGAAGCAGCCTTGGTCCTGCCCTCACAGGGTCCAGGCTGGGGCTAGGGGTGCCAGCACAGATACCCTCCCAGGCTGGCAGTGGCTTGCAGTCTTATTCACCACTACTTCTGGGAACCGGTGCTGGGGAGGTCTGCTGACAGTGAGGGTACGGGATCCTTTTCCTGCCAAACCTGGCTGGCTCCGAGGAATGGCATTGATTTGAACTACGATTGTCATCATGGAAGTTTGGAATCAAATGACTCTTGCCTCTCACTCCCAGGGCCAGCCCTGTTGTCACTGTCCTTCATTCTGCCACCCAGGGGGTGTTTATCGTGTATGTATTAGATGTCTGTCACTGTGGCAGGCCCTGGCAACAAGGGGTGCAGTCCCTGCCCTTGTGGGACAGAGGGATTTCTCTGTCACTCAAGCATGGCCCCATCCTGTGCCAGGCAAAGGCATGGTTGGAAATAACCAGTGTCCGTGGGAGTCCAGGCTGGGAAAGACAGGAAGGGGCTGCCCAGGCCCTCCTGGACAGGAGTAACCCAGGTTACCGCAATGGACCTGCGTGTGCTAAGTAAGTTGTGACTCCAAACATGAATATCTAGGTTGTCACCCTACAAGAGAGTGAGCTGACTTAGACTGAGGGCTCTGGAGGGAGGGTGTGTGTGTGGGTGGGGGTGGGGGGTCCTCTCACTGAGGAAATGACTCTTCTGCTGAGATCTGAAGGACTGGCTGGGATGGTTCCCCGTGAGTCGGAAGGGATGGCAGGAGGGATGAGAAGTCCAGACGTGGCCGGTAGCCTGCACAGTGTGCCCTGATGAAGGGACAAATGAGAGAGTTCTGGCCACCAGCCGTGAGACAACCTCCGAGCATTGCTGGAAAATGAGGGAGAGGACCAGCAGTGGCCAGAGACCCGGCAGCGTGGTGGCTTCAAGACCAGTGGTGTTTGGAGTTGGGACTTTTTTTTTTTTACCTAACTTCCGTGGGGTAGCGAGATCCTGCAGTGACCCTGTAGATCTAGAACCTTGGCTCCAAAGGAATTGGGAGGGGACACGGTGGGGTGAGACCTGTGACAGCCGTGAGAGCTCTCGGCCCCCTGAGACTGTGATCCCCAGGGGGTACTGGGCCCCTGTCCAGTCCTGGACTGGGTGGTCTGCTGACTGGGGGTGGAGCCAGCTCTCTGCAGCTCTCCTCAGTCCACCCCCCCCCCATACTTACCAATTAGTCTCCCCACCAATCACCAAGACCAGCTGGGTGGTGGTGGTGCAAGCCTTTAATCCCAGCACTCCTCTCGGGAGACAGAGACGGGTGCATCTCTGTGAGTTCGAGGTCAGCCTGGTCCCCAGAGCGAGTTGCCAGATAGTCAGGGCTACACAGGGAAATCCTGTCTCAAAAAACCAACCAACCAAACACACAAACAAAAAAATAAAAAACAAAGCACCAAGACTAAAAGCAGCTGGAAGAGGAAAGGGTTTATTTCAGCTTAAACTTTCGCGTCACAGTCCATCACTGAGGGAAGTCAGGACAGGGACTCAAGCAGGGATTGTGGAAGACCGATGCATACTGACGTGCCTTTTTGGCTCAAGGTCAGCTACTTTTCTCATACTTTCTAGGACCACCTGCCCCTGGACCCTTCCCCATCAATCGTTATTTGAGAAAATACCTCTACGAACATGCTTATACGAACAATCTAATGAAGGCATCATCTCAATGAAAGGCCTCCCCTTCCCAAATGACTCTAGCTTGGTCAAGTTCATACACACACACACACACACACACACACACACACACACACACTCACACACACA